CCCCAAAACCCCAAAACCCCAAAACCCCGGATTACGAAATCATTGAGATAGCTATAATTAGAATTGAAATAGGATTAAAACTAATAAATTGAATAGAATAGCATTTTCTAAATTTCAAATTAAGCATTTTGAGATTTTTTAACTAGTCTACTAAAAATACCTAACTTATTATAAAAATAAAAGACCCTAAAATAATTAGACTGTGTCGTAGTAATAATAATAATAACTCGCTCTCATAAACTATGCAATTTCACAAAAACCAGTCACTTACTAAGAACTTAATTAAATGCCATGAAAAGCAAAATCCTGGAATGATATTCAAGATAGAGAAGGTATGCAGTGAAGATCAGTCAGATGCTATTAATAAATAATAAGTTAGATCTGGCAATCTCTAGCACATAAATGGATATGTCCCATCATCAAGCTCTGGTGAAGCATGTAATCGCAAATTAATTAAGTTTAATAATAACAAACAGGAAAACCTTTAGCAAAGTTAATTGTAGTTTGAAATGTTTTCTGAGACTTCAAAAGAAGCGTCATTTAATTAAAATTTCAAGTCTTAACATGAATGAATCCATTTTTCTAGCAGAGTGAACTTTTCTAAACTTAATAATAATGAGAAAGTTCTTCGGCTAAAAAATATGGCAAATGAGATAAAAAGATTGAGGAAATCTTTAAGAATTATGAAAACAAAAAAAATAATGAAATTCAAAAAACATACCTTTTCTAAAATGAGTGGATTCATTTCAAATCTAGATAATATCAAAAGTTGCTATATATCGAATAATTAATCAACTAAGGCAGAGATAAATAATTATAATAATAAGAACATTGAGAAATAGCTGTGGCATGAATATGAAAGTTTATAATTTAAATCTCATTGCCAAACCTAATGCTAAGATAATCAGTAATAACTTAATTTTATTGACCTAAATTAACCAGGTTTTATAAATAAAAAGTCCATTCATTGTACTTTAAAAGAGTAGGATTTTCATAAAATATTATTCGATTTTAAACTCTATAACAAAAATAAAAAATAAACCATATCTCCTCAAAATTATTAAATAAGGGATGAAGAAATTTCCAAAGACATTAAAAAATCTTATTTTAGAGATAGATTGTTTATTCAAAATTCAAAAGAAGCTTGTAGTTTAAGCTTTGACGAAATTCTAATGAAAATTGTAGAGCCAATTCTCTAAGATTTTAAATTAAATAATCTCAAAAAATAGAGACTACTATAAATTTCTAAAATATCAGAGAATAAATAAGAGTAGATAGTGTATTCAGGTGCATAACAGAATCCTAAAAATTTTATGATTCTAAACAATTGCAAGTAAATTGCTAAATATGAAGAGTATTCGTCATTATATCAGAGAGAACCTAAATTTTGAGGATTTTAATAATTAAAGGCAAGAATTCTATATTGATTAAAGAATAGACAGAAATAAATACGCTAATGAAAAAATACTAATATAATTATTAAAATAAGAAAAGCAAACTAACTTGTTTAATTAATGAATTTGAATTCTTAAAATCTAGTTTAATTTCATTCAAACGGGGTTTTGGGGTTTTGGGGTTTTGGGG